ACCGAGTGGTTAAGGCGATGGACTGCTAATCCATTGGGGTTTCCCCGCGTGAGTTCGAATCTCATCCTGATCGAAACTTTTGCTATTCACAGAAGAGTGAGCAGCAGTGTTCCCACGCTTGAGAAATGGACTTGATAGGAAATACCGTTGGACGTGAAGGATAATGGCAGTACATAAAGCTGCCGTGATCAGGTGGCCGAGTGGTTAAGGCGATGGACTGCTAATCCATTGGGGTTTCCCGCGTGAGTTCGAATCTCATCCTGATCGAAACTTTTGCTATTCACAGAAGAGTGAGCAGCAGTGTTCCCACGCTTGAGAAATGGACTTGATAGGAAATACCGTTGGACGTGAAGGATAATGGCAGTACATAAAGCTGCCGTGATCAGGTGGCCGAGTGGTTAAGGCGATGGACTGCTAATCCATTGGGGTTTCCCCGCGTGAGTTCGAATCTCATCCTGATCGAAACTTTTGCTATTCACAGAAGAGTGAGCAGCAGTGTTCCCACGCTTGAGAAATGGACTTGATAGGAAATACCGTTGGACGTGAAGGATAATGGCAGTGCATAAAGCTGCCGTGATCAGGTGGCCGAGTGGTTAAGGCGATGGACTGCTAATCCATTGGGGTTTCCCCGCGTGAGTTCGAATCTCATCCTGATCGAAACTTTTGCTATTCACAGAAGAGTGAGCAGCAGTGTTCCCACGCTTGAGAAATGGACTTGATAGGAAATACCGTTGGACGTGAAGGATAATGGCAGTACATAAAGCTGCCGTGATCAGGTGACCGAGTGGTTAAGGCGATGGACTGCTAATCCATTGGGGTTTCCCCGCGTGAGTTCGAATCTCATCCTGATCGAAACTTTTGCTATTCACAGAAGAGTGAGCAGCAGTGTTCCCACGCTTGAGAAATGGACTTGATAGGAAATACCGTTGGACGTGAAGGATAATGGCAGTACATAAAGCTGCCGTGATCAGGTGGCCGAGTGGTTAAGGCGATGGACTGCTAATCCATTGGGGTTTCCCCGCGTGAGTTCGAATCTCATCCTGATCGAAACTTTTGCTATTCACAGAAGAGTGAGCAGCAGTGTTCCCACGCTTGAGAAATGGACTTGATAGGAAATACCGTTGGACGTGAAGGATAATGGCAGTACATAAAGCTGCCGTGATCAGGTGGCCGAGTGGTTAAGGCGATGGACTGCTAATCCATTGGGGTTTCCCCGCGTGAGTTCGAATCTCATCCTGATCGAAACTTTTGCTATTCACAGAAGAGTGAGCAGCAGTGTTCCCACGCTTGAGAAATGGACTTGATAGGAAATACCGTTGGACGTGAAGGATAATGGCAGTACATAAAGCTGCCGTGATCAGGTGGCCGAGTGGTTAAGGCGATGGACTGCTAATCCATTGGGGTTTCCCCGCGTGAGTTCGAATCTCATCCTGATCGAAACTTTTGCTATTCACAGAAGAGTGAGCAGCAGTGTTCCCACGCTTGAGAAATGGACTTGATAGGAAATACCGTTGGACGTGAAGGATAATGGCAGTGCATAAAGCTGCCGTGATCAGGTGGCCGAGTGGTTAAGGCGATGGACTGCTAATCCATTGGGGTTTCCCCGCGTGAGTTCGAATCTCATCCTGATCGAAACTTTTGCTATTCACAGAAGAGTGAGCAGCAGTGTTCCCACGCTTGAGAAATGGACTTGATAGGAAATACCGTTGGACGTGAAGGATAATGGCAGTACATAAAGCTGCCGTGATCAGGTGGCCGAGTGGTTAAGGCGATGGACTGCTAATCCATTGGGGTTTCCCCGCGTGAGTTCGAATCTCATCCTGATCGAAACTTTTGCTATTCACAGAAGAGTGAGCAGCAGTGTTCCCACGCTTGAGAAATGGACTTGATAGGAAATACCGTTGGACGTGAAGGATAATGGCAGTGCATAAAGCTGCCGTGATCAGGTGGCCGAGTGGTTAAGGCGATGGACTGCTAATCCATTGGGGTTTCCCCGCGTGAGTTCGAATCTCATCCTGATCGAAACTTTTGCTATTCACAGAAGAGTGAGCAGCAGTGTTCCCACGCTTGAGAAATGGACTTGATAGGAAATACCGTTGGACGTGAAGGATAATGGCAGTACATAAAGCTGCCGTGATCAGGCGACCGTGTGGTTAAGGCGATGGACTGCTAATCCATTGGGGTTTCCCCGCGTGAGTTCGAATCTCATCCTGATCGAAACTTTTGCTATTCACAGAAGAGTGAGCAGCAGTGTTCCCACGCTTGAGAAATGGACTTGATAGGAAATACCGTTGGACTGAAGGATAATGGCAGTACATAAAGCTGCCGTGATCAGGTGGCCGAGTGGTTAAGGCGATGGACTGCTAATCCATTGGGGTTTCCCCGCGTGAGTTCGAATCTCACCCTGATCGAAACTTTTGCTATTCACAGAAGAGTGAGCAGCAGTGTTCCCACGCTTGAGAAATGGACTTGATAGGAAATACCGTTGGACGTGAAGGATAATGGCAGTACATAAAGCTGCCGTGATCAGGTGGCCGAGTGGTTAAGGCGATGGACTGCTAATCCATTGGGGTTTCCCCGCGTGAGTTCGAATCTCATCCTGATCGAAACTTTTGCTATTCACAGAAGAGTGAGCAGCAGTGTTCCCACGCTTGAGAAATGGACTTGATAGGAAATACCGTTGGACGTGAAGGATAATGGCAGTACATAAAGCTGCCGTGATCAGGTGGCCGAGTGGTTAAGGCGATGGACTGCTAATCCATTGGGGTTTCCCCGCGTGAGTTCGAATCTCATCCTGATCGAAACTTTTGCTATTCACAGAAGAGTGAGCAGCAGTGTTCCCACGCTTGAGAAATGGACTTGATAGGAAATACCGTTGGACGTGAAGGATAATGGCAGTACATAAAGCTGCCGTGATCAGGTGGCCGAGTGGTTAAGGCGATGGACTGCTAATCCATGGGTTTCCCCGCTTGAGTTCGGATCTCATCGTGATCGGAACTTTTGCTATTCACAGTGAAGTGAACAGCAATGTTTGGGGACGTGACTGCAGCCTCCTTTTTCTTATGTTTTGGAGTTATGGACCCATTTTTGTCGAAATTTAGGAAACATCACAAAAATTTTTTCTGAGTGTGTGGCTTACGCCACGCGCCTTCATTTACAAAAAATTTTTTGTCCCCCCTTCCCCCCCGGGTCCGAAACCTTGAGAGTGAAACTGCTCAACTGTCTCAGCAAAAAGCAGAGTTGGTGCGTGACTCTAAAGATTCAACTTATGTGCGTTTTGGCTTCCTTCCCTTTCTCTAGTAGCATAGAGCAGATACTTGCTGATCGCATCGCAGTGAATTACCAAATCTCCTTCATCTTGGAAATGAAAATGAGTTCTATTGCGGTTGTTTACACAAAAGTTGGGAATTGTTTGATGATACATGATAAGAGTATGTTTGTCTTCAAAATCGATAAAATAGAAGGAATGGTTTCGACCCCGAAAGTAATCTAACGGGCGGACCGGTGTCGAAAACCTATGTTGCAAAATCTGGCGCTGATCGGTACACGCACAAAAAATTCTATAATGACAACTAACTAACAAGTTACCAACACTCAGCTTTATACTAGGCTGATTCAAAACTTCGGTCCAATTTGCGATTTTTTCGTTTGAATTCTTGTAGATTTTTTCGTAATCAACGTTTTTAAACAAGTTAAATTTTGTTGCATTAAACCCGTTTATGGCTATCTCAAGCACTGTATACCATGTAAGGAAGGCTAGCGAGAGAAAAGAGAGAATTTTTCGAAATCTGCAAGGTTTTATTCAAATCGCCCAGTTTGACGTACTGATGCTTCCATATGAGGATGGACAGACATACTTGGCTGCCATCATTAAGTAGCCTATACTTCAAAGGTTCTTTTGCGGCTAAGAATTCGAGTTATCTTTCTGCAGAAATTTTTGAAAGAAATTTTTGCGAGCAAATTGTTGTCGCTTGTTGAATAACTGGGTTTGTCTTCCATCTTTGAAAAAAAAAATGGAAACGTAAACATTCTCTACGCCGGAGGAAAAGCGCGCTTATGTTAGCCCATTACATCTTCAACCGTTATAATTTATCATACATTTAGTTTTGCGAATACTGCGAAAGTTTCCCTTCATGGAAACTTTTTTTTGGGCATGAAGCATTTTGGCAACTTTGCTTTGGGGCTCAAAATTACATCACCGGAAAGTTGATTCGCCAAGCATTAGTAAGCACTAAAAAGAACAAGAAAAGAACTTTTAGACAATGGGTTATGACCGTGCCATAAGTGCAAAACCCTAAGAAAATAGCTGCATTAAAACAAGGCAATTGAAAATCGGACAGAACTTTTGAATCAGCCTAGTTTATGTATATGTATAGATCGAGCTCTTTATTCGCAAAGTTGAAACACTCGGTGGCCAAGTACGAATTTGAATTCAGGCATGTAGACTGCGTAGAGTGCTCCAGCTCAAAATTCACAGGGAGAAGATCCCTCCCACTTCTAATCTCCCTCCAGCGTTAGAGCACTTTTTCGCCGTTTTCGTGATCCCCAGTGTGGCGGATTCAGCATAACGAACAGGCCCGGGTAAGTGTAAAATCTCAGAATCGACTTTTAGCCCGGACACTGCCTTCAACAGTTTATTTGACCTTTTCCTGTAAATAGGTCGCAAGAACGCAATAGCCTTGAACTGAAGGAGCGTTGCAAACGTTCAGCTAAAATCTAGTTAATGTCAGTTGAGTTTTTTTAATTGCCCAATGGCTCCTTAACGTCTCTTGCAACATAATAATTCATTTTTCTCGATGACATTTCTTGCAATCGTTCAATGTTGACAACTTACAAGAGTGACATGTCGAATTAGACTTAATTCTCCTTTTATACATTTCAGTGATTACTTCTTGCACTTTCGTTCACGCGACCTTCGTTTCGCATTAACAGTATCCGGTCACTTATCACTCGCTGCTATAAAAATCTACCGCAAAACCCGCCTTGTGCAAATATCAACAATGCACGAGGAAAAAATCGTTGTTGGCATTGCTTCCACCTGTACGCTCATCGCCATCACCACCTACTTTGTGGTTATTCATGAACTCTTCGGCACCGTCCAACGCACCCATTTCGAAGTTTCCGAGCGAGTGACAGCGTTTCGTGACGAGACCGATGCGATATGGAATGAAGTCATCGATGTGCAATCGACTCTTCTACCCGCCTCGCCTCCGAAAGCCCAATTCGAGTCAATTTTTCGAAACAAAAGGCAGGATAAGAAGCTGCCATGGTATTGTCAATGCGAGCTGGAAAGACCCCGCTGCGCACCGGGACCACCAGGTCTGCCGGGATTGGCTGGTATACCAGGTACTACTGTAGTTCAAATCTTTTCAAGATATAGGGTTAATCCAAGACTTTGTTTTTTCGCTAAAATCTGATAAATCTCCAAAGGCTTAAACATTTTGTGGAGCATGCTTCTTCCTTCCTACATTAAGTTTAGCAATGGCGGACCAAGAGGGACCCCATCCTTCCCGAGAAATATTTGAAAGTAATTTACGCTTATAAACACCCTTCCCGAGAAATATTTGAAAGTAATTACGCTTATATGTGTGCTACTTCTTTATGCTTGCAAATAAGTGGAATGAATTTTAAAATCTCTTTTTTTCCAAAATTAAAAAATCTAAGTGGAAAAGCTTTAAAAAAATCTTTCGGAGTGCGTAGCTAATGCCACGCATCTTCATTTAAGAGAAATTCTTGCCGCAAACCTCCCCCTTCTCTTTTGCTCGCTCAGATGAAAATTCTGGGACCGGCATTGAATTCAAAAGACATTTTTCGAAAAGCGTTCAAACAAATGCTAGAATTTACTGGTTACCAAAGCTATTCTACCTTTTACATGTTCTTTTGAGATCGATTTTTGCGAAAGCAGGCATTGGGTTGTTTCAGACTGCCGCACTGATTGCAGCAGACTGCACTGACCGCAGCAGACTGCAGCAGACTGCAGTTGACTGCACTGACTGCAGCAGACTGCAGCAGACTGCAGCTGACCGCACTGACGCAACGACCGCAGCGGCTGTAGCATGCAGGCGGAGAGGATAAATAGTTGTGGTTTAAACAAACAACAACAATATATACGTAAAAGCAAAAGACAACACGGTTTAGAATGTTAAAAAATAGGTATATGCAGTGATAGGAGGAATTAGAACAAATACGAACATACCAAAGAAAACTATCGCCAAAATTTGATTGAGAAGAATTCTGATGGGACTTATGATCTTCTTATGCGTAAATCACGCTGTTTTGGTAATCGCGGTTGTTTTCTTTTAAGAAAAGAGGCTGCGACCGGTGCGGTCAGCTGCAGTCAGCTGCAGTCTGCTGCAGTCTGCTGCAGTCAGTGCGGCAGTCTGAAACAACCCATTGCTAGGCGGATTTTCAGGATTTATGAATAACTGAGATTTCATAATGATTTTTTTTGCGGAGATTTGATTTTTGATAATAGATGAGAAGATAACCGGTTTTGTTTGAGCGTTGCTCTGAACCTGCAGTGGAGTTATACCTTCTTCTCCACCTAATCATGAATCATTTTTTGTAACTTGCCCTTAAACTTTCCTTTGGCTTTCAAATGTAGGATTTTTTGCGTAATCAAATTAAATAGATTTTTTTGTAAAAAATCGGCATCACAACCTTATCAAATAAGCCCTCTGATTTACTCATTCCGGGTTAATACAATGCTGAAAAATTGAAAAAGACCTTCGGGGCTTAATAATAGATATAATAATTATCATGACTTGTAATAATGCAATGCTTGATTTGGTCATGAAGTGAATTTTGCCAAGAATAGCTGCCACATATTTTAAAGTTCTCTGAAAAACAGAAATTTTGCATAAATTCTTAAGTATGAAATTTAGGTCACCCAGGAATACCCGGCAAACCGGGTGCAGATGGCACAGACTTCACTGGGATGATTACCTGTACATCCAGTTCTTGCATAAAATGCCCGCCAGGATCGTCTGGGCTGCCAGGAAAACCAGGGCCGACAGGCCCAATGGGTCCTACAGGCCCGTCTGGGGTAAATGGTGCCCAAGGCAAATCTGGTCCTCCTGGTCTTCAAGGACCTCCTGGCACGCAAGGAGAAGCGGGACCAGATGGCCCACCAGGCGAACCGGGATTACCTGCAAAGTATGTGAGAAAAATTTTGAAGTTAGTACCAGGTCCACCCGGGCCTCCAGGTGAAAGAGGACCAGTAGGAAAACCTGGACCGAAGGGAAAGCCGGGTGTAACATGCGAAGGATTGCCTGGCAAGTCGGGAGCGATTGGCCCTCCAGGAATGCCTGGTTTGGATGGAATACCCGGACGAGCAGGGAGAGCTGGAAGTCCAGGTGCGGATGCTGCCTATTGTCCCTGCCCTTCACGTACTCTGTCACGTAGAATTCGCTTAGTCAGCTGAAAGATAATAGGAAATATCTTCTATGAAATATTAGATATAAATTTCGCTAATAAAGCTCGAAATATGTTGCAATACTGCTTCAGGAAACAAAAGTCCGTCACAAGTAGTCATTTTTAGGTGATGGGCTTCTACATCTATTCTCACCATGTAAGGTTGCAATAGATTAAATAGTACGAGTTGATATTCTGACACATTAATACGCCTAACTTTTTTAAGGGCGAAATCCAAATAGTTTAGCACTGACTATTCTTAAACACTGCTGCTTATCATTATCTTTGTCTCGAAGAATTCTGCTAGACTTTTCTTTTCTGTTCTTTCTTTTTTCCCGAAAGTCAAAAGTAGATTGTGGCTAGCAACTCAAAGAAAAAAGAACCTGAAAAAGAAGAAAGAAGAAGTAGGAAAATAGAATTTCCTTCTGAGGCAGGCAAATAAAAGAAAGACTTCTAAAGCAGCCCATTCTGGATAGATATTACCATTATTTCGGTGCACCTGAGAGAATATAATTAAGAGGCTTTTGACTTTACGATATTCCCCCCTTCCCTCCCCTCCCTGGAGAACGGGTCGAGAAATATTTGAAAGTTACATGAGTTGTAGAAATGTACAATCTACGCGTTTATAGGTGCGAAATCAAATAACTTTGAAATATTTAAAAATTTAGCTGACCCGTGAAAAAACTTTTGGAGGCTTGACTGCAGCCGCCTTTTTTGAAAGTGCGGGGATATAGATGCGCAAGAATTTAGAAGCATTTCAAAAAAGCGTAGCGCATGGCATCACCAATTGCAGGCGTCAATCCCAAAATCCCCCCCCCCCGGAATAAAAATCCTTAGATCGCCACTGCTTCTTTGTTGCGAAAATGTGACAACTTTTCCATGTCTACTTTATAAGATAAGCACAAAGCAATGCTGAACAACAGCACACTGACAGGTGCAGCCGGTTTATTTTGGTCAAAAAACAAACTAATGGGGGGGGGGCCTGAGATTCTAGAACTCATGGAGCAGAATAGGCATTATGTGGATATGAAACAAGCAAATAAGAGACTTTTTTGCGGATCTATATGGTTTGAGGAAAATCTGAAAAACGGACTTATACACTGGTAAATGTTTTTATCACTTCATTTTCAGAAAAGTGAAATAAAAGAGTGTAAGCGTCTTGTGTTTCTTTCTCTTTCTTTGCTTAACACATCGAAAGCAACCTGCATTCTTAGTTGACCGCCCTGGCCTTCCGCGGATAAGTTGAGAATTTCCAACTAAAATCACGCGGATCGTGATCTACAGTAAACTTATAGTATTCTAAGAAGCATTCAAGAAATGCGGAAGTACTTGCTAGGGTCAAAGGGGAAAAGAACTTCTGGAAGGAATGTATCCCGAAATAGCTGTCACAAAAAAATCAAGCATGACCCACCATGTAGGTAACATATCCTACGTGGTAGTCATTACATGACCCCACCATGTGGGTAACATATCCCACGTGATAGTCATTACATGACCCCACCATGTGGTTCACGTTGTGTCAGTGTGTTAATTTTTCTGCTGTCTTCCCTTGAATTGAATAATTTTTGTGAACGGGATTGACTCAAATCTACCATTCTGCTAGTAAGTGAGACTTTTCTCGAAGTAGCTCAATTTTCAACACAAGAGTAGATCAAGTCGCTTTGCTTTTTGACTTTTTTCACGCATCATCATCAGCCTAGAAATGGGACAATCAGTCATAAACTACAGGCTTTCCTTTTTGCTAAAAAAAACTTTGAAAAATTTAGCACTTTCAAAAATAGGGAATGCACTAATCAGAAATAATTTTCTGATTCAAATGGCCATTTTTCCTTGTAAACATGGTATCATGTCGTCTATACTAATGAGCTTTCCCCTATAAAGAGACGAGTAACTATAGGATGTAAATGCGGAATTACAGTAGCAATAAAATCAACAAGGACTTCTCTTGGCTCAAATTAAGCAGTAGTCAGCGTACCCGTGGCGTTGCCTGTTCAGTCTTTTTTTTTCAGAAACAAATTTCTTAAAAGTTTGAACAAGTTGTACAATTGAAAAAATAACTTGTCATTCCCTGTAAATTAGTGATTCTTATTGCAAGAGTTGATTAGGCTTTCTGTCTTGAAATCTTGCGGTGAATAGAATACTGATGCGGCCGGAATTTGGGGGCATGGCTAGTATATACATCTTTGAATAAGATTCTATTACTGCCATTACTATCTTGCCACCGGTGCACACAATTACCATTATCCCATTGCCGTTTCAAATCAGTTTTTTTGGCTCCTCCGAAAATAATGCTTACACTCCTTACACATTTGAGCGTTCACAAATGAAAAAAAGGTTCATAGTCGGCGTACCTCCCCTTTATATATTACTTTAACCCCAAGCGTTCACCTTGACTAAAATACTCCAAGCATTTGTCTGAGAAGGACTTCTGTACTTTCTTAAAAGATACGAACAAGAACTCAGTTTCTAATTGTATCCAAAAGTATCTATGTTGTACACGATACACATCATTATTGAAACTACGGTTTTTCTCTTTGTATTCAATGCTAAGAAAAGTTGCGACGTCGCATGCATCGTTCGCGTTGCCGCACTTCGTTGCAACTGTTGTTCGATTTGCCCTTATATCTCCTGAACAAATATCGATGGCACAGCTCTAGAGACCCTTTCGAGAAGCCTTTGACTTGATAACCTTGGGCAAAAAGAAAACCTCCTGTAAACGTTGAAAATATCCTTCAAAGGTGCGTGCTGCACCATGTGCAGCACCGGTCTGAAACGTGTTAAAAATAAAGTTTGCACGCAAGACATTAGCTCATACGCGAAAAGCTTGGCAGCTGTTTTATACGTTTATTTTTCAGGAAGAGTTCGCATCAATCAGAACAAAAAACTTTCCAAAGTTGATTGTGAAATTTACCTTGTTGCGGTTAAAATTGATGATGATATGTGATATGATAATGATAGAACGGAATGTGCGACGATAAATCCCGGCATGGTCGTAATTTTCTGTGTGTTCTTGTGAGCAGTACCCGAAGCTGTCAAATACTTTATTAGGCTAACTTTTCGGCAGGTCGCCTTCTTCAGAGCCTGAAATGGGTGATACATCTGCAATCCATTCGACTATGTCTCTTTAGCAGAGTGAGCAAAGTGCCAAGACTTAGGTTCCAGGTCAAACACTCACCTTCTGGGTTACGCCGAAGAAGCTATTTAACGCGAGAGCGAGATTATTAATGACCGCTTGAGGGACCACTACTTATAGTGAAAAACTAGGTCAGGAGAGTTACCTAGGAAAGGTGTGCGAGTCCACGCGTGATCGCCAGGCATTCCTCCTTGCGATTCATTTTTGGACTTTTCGCGCGAATCCAAAAATTCTAAACACTTGCACGCTGTTTGGGATTCGTGCGCCAAGATTTCTACCGAAACGCCGAAATTTGTCCCCGCTTTTTTGTACTCGGTGAGTGCATAGAGGGCTGGTTGCGCAATTTAGCATTGCCGTCTATCTGTTCTTTGATGCGAACACATAGCGGGCGCTGTTTTCGCCTATGTATTTCGCATGTATTCCGTATGTGTTATGTATTCCGCACTCCTCACAAGAGATCAGATAGACTACCCCCGCAGCCTTGCAATCCCCGCTTTTGCTCTGAGCAAATAATGCAATGTCGCGTGGTGCAGGTGCGATCGTAGATACGATTGCGAATTAGTAAGCTCTTTAAATTGTTGCTCGAAGGCAATTCTACAATTGTAACAGAACCTTTGTGGCCCTCCTCAGACACTGTCGCAATGCAGTGCTGGCTTCATCGGACATAAGGGGAATGCAGAAGGCTACTTTTTCGGCGGCGAAATGTTCACTGACTTTCGCGATGCTATTCTCCTCTACTCCTAGGCGTCCTTGCATGATTTACATACCCATTGGAAGAAGCTACGCTGCGGACAAGCGTCAGTGATTCTATCCTTTCCTGGTGACCACTACAAACCTGGGATGCTGTGCGAAACATGCTTTTGATTACAGCTCTCTTTGTTTGGAGCGGATGTGCTGATTGGAAGTGGATGAGAATGTTTATATTGCTCGGCTTGCGGTACCATTTTGTCGCACACATACTCGTTTCGATAAACCTTGGCATAGACGTCTTATCTTCAACGTCTTCTTGTGAGCCGTAGATTGTTAAATACTTTATTAGGCTAATGTTCTGGCAGATCGCCCTCTTCAAAGCCTGAAATAGGTAATACGATCTGCAATTTATTGGACAACGTCTCTGCAGCAGAGTGAGTGAAGTGCCAAGACTTAGTTCGATTATTACCTCAGCTGGTAGCATTTAGCCAAACACGCACCTTTTGCGTTACGCCGAAGAGTTTTTAACGCGAGAGCGAGATGACTAGACCAAAGGGCCCAGTGAAATAAAGCAAAAAAAGCCTATGATCTTCGCCGGTGTCGAAAACACTGTGTGCAAAGTTTGGTGACTATCCGTTCGCTCACAAAAGTTTTATTCCGAACATAAGAACAGTTTAGTCACAAAATTTGAGTCCTACGATTGTAGAGAAAGGAAGAATATACTAAGAAAGTCGGAGGCTGAGGAAAAGCAGAGAAGCGTGAAGTCGAAGGAAGAGTAGGTATTGCCGCACGAAGGATACGGCGGTACCGCCGTCTTATGATTACGGTCATTTCTCCGTACTGCTAATACCGCTCAACAGTAAGGCTCCTATTCCGGTGCAGTACCTGGGATGCCAGCGGATATTCTGTATTTTCCTGCGTAAATCTTTTTGAAATAGACGCACTAGACTGCTGTTGTTGCTCGCATGTAAGCAAACTTGGTAATCTTAAATCGAAAGCTGAAAATCCCGAATTCCGAGGTGTCGTATAGTTACGAAACGCACTATGTGTAATCTTATATGACTCTTCTATGGACAAGGTGCAAACTTAACTGTTTAGCTGTTAACTTGATGTACAACAATCGGATGGGATTTTCCCGCTTCAATCCAATATCATCCTGATCAGATTTCATGATATCCACAGTAGAA